GCTCCTGTGTGCTCTGATCAGACAAGTCCCTCTCCTTGAGCTGTAGCTTCAGTGCTGTCCTTTGAAGTGAATTCTTCGGGGGGTAGGGAAGAGGTGGTCCTGTCCACTTAGTTGGTAATGGGGCCGGCCCCTCAGTCCTCTCTATCGTTTCCCTGCTTCATGTCAGTGTGTTGCGTTCTTATCTTGGAGCACCAGGTTGATGTCTGGTCCCTCTTTCTCTGTGAAGACACAATCAACACCCTCCCCCTGTGTGGCTTAATGCCCTGTTCCACTGGCTACCCATGTCTTTCATGTCTTTTTCCCCCATCCTTTTTAGTGGGCTACCATATGTATCCCTGAGTTTAGTCCGTCCCCTGCCATATTACCTGGACCTTACCCCAGGGACATATGTATGCAGTTATTGCTCAGTTCTTGTACCATGTTTTTTATTTCTCTTATTTCATTGTTGGGTTTCTGGGTTTCTTTTGGATGTGAGGTTTTTAGTATATCAATTTCTTCCTATGTTTTTGGTATTGATTCCCAAATCTCTTGTATGGTCCTAAACATTCTCCTGAATTCACTTTCTGGTACTTCCAGGACTCCTTTTTCTGTGTATTCCATTGGGTAATCTTCAGTTGTTGACCTTAGTTTATCTTGACTTTTTGAGGTTACTGCTGTTGTCTTTTGTTTCACAGCATTGTGATCCAGCTGTAGATGGTATGTAGGGTTCTGGGTTGTGTGTTAGTGGGGGATTGGCTCTTTGGATTAGAGGACAATCATATAGAGACTGTAAATTGTATTGTGTGGAGATGAGGAAGAAGTGATAGGGTAGGTAGCAGAAATAGGATATGGGATCATGAGAGTAGGATTTAAGTGATGATATTAATCATAAGTGGTCTTTTGATTAAATACCATATATACTCGAGTGTCAGCCGAGGCACCTAATTTCACCACAAAATACTGCATTAAAAACATGCTGAAAAACTCAGCTTATACACGAGTGTATACTGTAGTACTTTTTGATAAATTAGAAAATATTTTAAGAGGTGTTCTAGTACTTGTTAATGTATGTGGAAGTTTGTCTTACTGGGTAGTGGTGGAGAGTATATCCAGTAATCTACCAGGATCACTTATCGACCCACTATATAATATAAGGAGAAAATAGCAGATAGATGTTATTGTGTTTATAACAAAGGGCCCTTGGTTTGGCAGCACTCTACTTCCTGCTCTCATGGAACTGATTTGTCAGTGTAGGAACTGCGCCCCTATAGGAAGGGTCACAAAGGGAAAAGTGGAGAGATATGGAGATTCTGCATTTTTCCATGCTATCTTCCCACCACACAGGGGCCCCATGTAGTAAATAGGCTGTGAGAATGGAGATATGAAAAAAAAAAAAGAATGGAGATATGAGATGAAGGGGGATTTCTAGTTAGAGGGAGGTCTGGAGGATGTTAAGTCCCAGCACTGGCAGGTCTCCATGTGTGGGAGGAGGAGCCACTGAGATTCACTGGTATACCGCGTTCCAAGTACTCTGAAGGGAAAAGGAGTTTTGTGGGGGTTTTCCCCCCAACAAAGGAAAGAAAATCAAAAATAATCTTTAAGCACCCAGAATTCAGGTCATGTATCTGATTTACCAGGGCACAGGTCCTACCTGTTAGATTCTGGCTGAGACTGGTCGAGTTCACTATGAGGGTCTATCTAGTGGCCATGTTTTCCCAAGAAGCCTCTTCACTTTGTTTTCTCAGTTTGCAGAGTATACCCCATCAGTAGGACCTTTCTAGACTATCTTCCCATTACATCTTAAATTTCATATGTGGATTGTAAGGAGTATGTAATAAAACCATATGCCTATGAATATTTTTTGTATTAGGATATTATCATATGTGTTTTTTTCAGCAGAACATTCAGTCCTGATAATGGTGTTCCAAATTCAACCAAAATAGTCGTTCTATCCCCTTTGTGTGAGTGTGTGTACCATTCCTTTATCCGTTCATTTAGTACACATTTCCTGAGCGCCTCCTAAGCATTGTGTTAGGCTACATTGGTATGAAAGAAAATAATGTATATCTCTGCCCTCACAGTAAATTGGGTCAACTGACTTATTAATCATTTCTTAATACTATATGACAACTTGAGTAAGAAGTATGCATAGGATGCTGTAGAGAATTTAGAAGCAGGCATCTGAATCTGATTAGGGGAATGAAATAAGACTTCTGTAGTAGTTGAGTCTAGGGCTGAATTTTGAAGAGTGAGCTAACTCATGAAGTTACTCATTAAATGGTATGCTGGGTGAATGAATTGGAGTTAATTAGGTGAAGCTGAAATAAAGGCCTTTGAAGCAGAGCTTACAAAGGCATGAAAAGCACACATATTCAAGGACACCTGCCAGTTAAAATGGATTAAGTAAAGGGTATACTTATAGGAGAGTAGGAGGTGCTGAGGCAGGTAGCATTCTGTCTTCACCATTTTGGTTGAGATCTCAGAAACTCTACTTTTCCCTTTCTCTACAGTCTATCCATCCCTGGAATCTGATGATGATGACCCTGCTTTAAAATCTCGACACAAAAAAAAGAAGAATTCAGATGATGCTCCATGGAGTCCTAAAGGTGATTCAATATTCTGTACTTTAAACAAAGGGTGTAAGAGAAAAAAATACCCTGGGGAGTAGGAAAGGATTTTAAGATAGGATATCTGATTCAGCCATTGATTCATTTATTTAACATACATTTTTTGGCCTTAAATGATCAATAAGATACAGAGTTCATGCCCTCAGACTGCAACATAATCAGAACTAAAGGAATGTGTTGCTTCTGATATTTTATGACTTGAGATGAAAGGAGAAATTGGGCAGATTTCAGCAAGCAGCCTAATGCTTTGGAGAACATTCTAATACCATCATCCTAGCTGTTAAAGTCGGGAAATAATATCAACTGTTGAGCTCCACAAAGTCCAGTACTGGCAGAGAAACCATCTCTGAGGAAGAAGGGAAAACTGATCATTGAACAGGGAACATAAGCATTTAGAGCAGTGGTTCTCAACCTTCCTAATGCCACGACCCTTTAATAAAGTTCCTCATGTTGTGGTGACCCCCCCAACCATAAAATTATTTTCATTGTTACTTTATAACTAATTTTGCTTCTGTTATGAATGCTACTGTTATGACCCCAAAGGGGTTGCAACCCACAGGTTGAGAACCGCTGATTTAGAGGGTGATAAAAGTATTTTCCTCATTTTATTAACAAACAACCCAAAATTTTATGGCTTAAAACAACAACTCTCTTGATTCTGTAGGTTGGTTGAGCTGTTTTTCTAATTTGGAACAGTTAGACTAGGGCTTCATAGACTAAAAAGGTCTCACTTGGGTATCTGGGATCTAAAATAGGGTGCCTAGGACCTCTCTTCATGTGGTTGTTCACCCATGAGGAAACCAGCTTAGGTAGGCTTTTTCACATGATGGCCAAAAGGCTTCCAACAGCAAGAGAAAATAGGCCCCAATGTGCAAGTACTTTTCAAATCTCTGATTGTGTCATGTTTGCTATCTTTCCACTGGCCAGAGCAACTTCCATGGCCATGCCTATATTCCAAAGGTGGAGAAACAGAGTCCATCTTTTGAGGCACGAACCTACAAAGTCACATTGCAAAGGGACATGCAAACAAGGAAGTATTAGCAAATTGAGGGTTGTTATTGTTATAGTCTACCACAGTGGTGCTGGGATCTCATTACCCATGTTTCCCCAAGAAATGAAGGGCCTGCTGCTGCAGACCTGTCCTTATTTTGGCCTTTTTCTGGAGTTTGCTTGAGTTTAGGGAGCTATAGGTCTGCATTGGAAAGTGTTCTCTTAATAAATCGATGAACAAATGTTTCTCTTTTTCTTCCTCAGTTTCCTTTGAGCCTACTTTCTGATGATTTTCCTCCCTTCTATACTTTCTAGCATTATTTTTGCCTTTCAGATAGATTTTTTATTACTTTAAAAAAATTTGGAAAATAGGAAGGGGTACCCTACAGAAAAAAGTTCTGCTGGGCAGAGCTTCATAGTATACATTTTTCCCACTAGGTGAGCATCGAGCAACTCACTCTGAGTTAGTGCACCCAGTGGCATCACCAGGGAAGGTTCTCTCTGGTCACAGTGAATTTTTTCAGAAAGGCAGTTTCACTTGAATCTCGCTTTTGTAATGGCCGGTTTAAGAGAACATTGTGTGGCTGTGAAATTTTGTTTCCTGCTCAGGGAAAATGCCACAGAAGCTGTTATGATGTTGAACACAGATTACAAGGATAGCACTCAGAAAAACTCAAGTGTAAGAGTGTTTTTCTCGTTTCAAAAAAGGTGAAATGTTGATTGATGACAAACCTTCTTCTGGACTTCTGTCAACTTGCCAAACTGGCAAAAATGTCAACTCCTAATGCATTTGGAGTTCATTCCACCAGGTCAAACTGTTAATCAAGCTTTCTATTTAGAGGTTCTGGAAAGATCGCATAAGTGTGCAACAAAAAAAGGCCTGATTTGTGACAGATGAGGGACTGGTTTTGCCACCACAGCAATGCGCCTGCTCATGCAGTCATCTCAGTGCCACTTTTTAGCAAAAACAGCATTCCTCTCTTGCCCCACACACCTTAATTACCTGACCTTGCTCCTTCCAACTTCTTTTTGTTTCTGTGAATGAAGAGAGACATGAAAGGACAATAATTTGACAGTGTAGAAGAGATGAAGAAAAATCAAGGGAACTGCTGTCCACTATCCAAAGAGATGAGTTTGAAAAAATGTTTCCAAGAATAGAGTCACAGATTTGACAAATGTATTAAGTGTAATGGGGAGTACTTTGAAAGTGATAGGATGTTTTGTAAAAAAGAAAAAAATTAAATACATAGCTTTGAAAAATAATTCTGGGCTTTTGGGGGGGCTATCCCCTCATACAGAGAGTAGAGAAAAGCATAAAAAAGAAACCACCCCTAATTCTGCCACCCGTAAGTGACAACTACTAATACTTTGACATATTTTCTTCTAGCCTGTTTTTCCTGTGTATTTTTTCTTTTTGTGGTTGAAATGTAAACTGTATAGTCTTATATCCTGCTTTTTAAGTTTTCAACCTTTAATCAAAGTAGTGTTTAGCTCTATCTAACACATGAAGTCACCATGAGTCGGAGTTAAATCGATAGCAGATAATTTACTATTTACTAGTTTTAGTGTGTGTAGCAAATAAAGTAGTACAGAGGCATTTGTGATAAAAAGCTAAGGTATCTCCCTACATTCAATCCCATGCCTGAGAAACCTCCTCATAGTTTTCATTTTTCTGGTCATTACCCCAAAATTCAAAATAATGTAATAGGGTCTTTTTTAATCATTTCTTGATTTATTAATTTAAACTCTACAATGGGGCTTTTAAAAATTCATGTAAAAATGGAATTAAAACATAATGGAGTTTTTCCATGAACTTTTGAAACACCCTTTAATTTCTCCTAACAACCATCCCTGGAAAAAGGATATCATTAGTGTCTAATTTTCACATACATATGAGGGGATTGAAAATTCCATGTCAAAAAAAAAAAGAAAATTCTCTTTTCAACACTTTTTTTTTTTTTTGCTTTGAAAGTTAGGGGGAAAATTCTATTTTAAGATCTGAAATACAATTCCTAAAATAGCAACTTTTCAGAAAACCACACTACAAAATAATGCACTGCATCTCTCATGCTAGAATGTGTATTAGACTCAAATACAAAAACCATGAAACAAACCTTCAAGAATTTCAGCAAAGATAGAATGTCTAAGGAACAATGTAGATGACTTGCTGCGAATGGGCTGTGTTCCTTCAAGCACCATTAAAACAGGGAGAGCACAAATGCATGTGTTTTCAGGTATACACATTAAGTTGAAATTTGGCACTAAGAATCAGGGCATTTTGTCACGTGGCATTAACACATATTAGAAAATTGTGTAGTGTCGATGGTTTAGAAAGAACCACCAGCATTCAAGCAATGTTGTCAGCTGGGCAATAAAATGTTCTACTGAAAGTTTCTTTTGTGTCCAGTTACTGTGAACACTGGTAGCAACTTTGAAATGAGAAAAGGAGTGTATATTCCCTTTTCTGTTTGAAACAAACTTAAAAATCATCCCTGTGATACATTAACAATTTTAGAGAACATCAGTTGTATAAGAAAAAGGTTTACAGATAGCCAGACATTAACAGTGAGTGGTCAGTAGACCCTCACAGGGCTTTGCGACAATACTTGGCTGAAGCCACTTTGTAATCACTTGCAGTAAACAGGGCTGCAGAATTCTTTGCCTGGTATTTTAGGAAATCATGCAGCTAGCCCAACAGTAATGCCAGGTTTTTCTTATCAAGGGGCAGCAGTGCACCGATTCTTACAAATAATCTCAGTAGGTGGAGTGCACCATAAACCTAGGACATTGGTGTGTCAGAATGAGCCATGAAGATCTGAGCATATTGGGACCTCTCAAATTTCTAAGCCAGCTGAGTGCCCAACATCACATTGAAATACTTATTTATTCGCGCCACAATTCCTTGCTGTTGACGTTTCCTTGAGATCTCTTGCAATTTATGTACTCTTCCAGAATAGCATCTATGTTGTTCTTAGCCAGGAATTGAAACAACTGCTTCTGCCTGGTAATTAAGCAAGTCCCAGTCCTCAACAAGCCTGGGTTTTAATTCTTCAGGAATCTTCATCTTAACCCCCACATGTTTGTTGAATGCTTCTTCACTTTCCACAAAAGGATCTGCCTGGGCCCTTTTCTTCTGAGGTAACTGAGGTACTTCACTGATACTACCACCATCTGCATTTCCAGAGAAGTCTTCTGCTTGTTCTTGCTGGTCTTCCTCACATATCCTGATGGGGAATTCTCTGCAGAGTGACACTCCCCCTCCATTCCTCCCAGCTGCCATCTTTCCTGAGGCAGTCCCTCTCATCTTCTCTGCATGTTGCTTCTAGATGGTTTTTTGAAGTTGTCTTTTTCTGCAGAGTGTTAGAGAGTCCGCTTTCTGTAACTCGTGCAATCCTGTTTTTATTCCAACCAATAATCCTCCTCCTAGTGCTTTCTCAGATGAAACTTTCTTGTAGAGTTTCAGGGGTGGTTTGGAAGGATGAGGTGTGGATATCTAAAATTCTGTGATGAAGGGTAGTTCTGTAGCCAGAATCAAATATTCTGCTGCTTAGTACATAACAAACTTAGCTTTTTGGATGCTGACTTGTGGGAACAAGCTTCAGCAGATTCTTGATTCTGAGTAGGTACTCTCCTGTTTTTCAGATTTGCAGCTGAACAACTCTCTTCACAGTCTGTTTCAATTGGAAGTGAAAGATGGCTTTGGTTAAAATTGGTTTGGCTCCCGCTTTTCACCACTTTCGTCTTAGGGAGCAGATTAACCCAATGTAATGTGTTGTCTGATTTCTTGACTCCTTCCATGAGCATTGATTGTGAAGCCAAGAAAAATAAGATCCTTGACAACTTCAATCTTTTCTCCATTAATCAAAATGTTGTCTATTGGTCCAGTAGTGAGAATTTTTGTTTTCTTTACATTGAGTTGTAATCCACACTGAAGACAGTAGTCTTTGACTTTCATCAACAAATGCTTTACGTCATCTCCTTCAGCACAG